TGTACTTCAACTTTAAAAAATTCTGTGACCCCATTAAGGAGTGAGTTCTTTTTTTTTTTTTTTTTTTTTTTTTTAACATCTATTATTTTATCCTAATATTATTTCAGTGCTTTTATGTTGACCTCATTTGGGCAGTTTTTTGTTTTCATATTTTTTGAGCTAGAGTCTTGCTCTGTTGCTCAGGCTGGAGTGCAACGGTGTGATCTCAGTTCACTGCAACCTCTGCCTCCCAGGTTCAAGTGATTCTCATGCCTCAGCTACCCAAGTAGCCAAGCAGCTGGGATTACAGGCATGTGCCACCATGCGCAGCTAATTTTTCTATTTTTAGTAGAGACGAAGTTTCACCATGTTGGTCAGGCTGGTCTCAGACTCCTGGCCTCAAGTGATCCACCCTCCTTGGTCTCCCAAAGTGCTGGGATTATAGGCACGTGCCACTGCGCCAGGCCAGTGCAGTTATTTTTTGTAGTTAGCTATTTCAGATATATTGGTAGTATAACTATGTATATATCATCCCTTTAAAACAATGTTTTCTATTTCTATCTTCTTTATATCAATTAGGCCAACTATTTATTAATTTTTATTATCTTTTCAAAGATCAGCTGGGTCCAGTGGTTCACACCTGTAACCCAGCAATTTGGGAGGCCAAAGTGGGAAGACTGCCTAAGCTGAGACGTTCGAGACCAGCCTGGAAAACATGGTGAGACTTCATCTCTAAAAAATTCAAAAAATTAGCCAGATGTGGTGATGCATGCCTGTAGGCCCCATTACTCAGGAGGCTGAGGTAGGAGGATGGGTTGAGCCTGGGAGATGGAGGCTGCAGTGAGCTGTGATCACTCCACTGCACTCCAGTTTAAGAGCAAGACCTTGTCTCAAAAAAAAACAAAAACAAAGATCAAACTTTTTAGTTCCTATTATTTTTACGTTTTACTTATCTGATCTTACCAAATCCAATGTACACTAAATATTTAATAAATGTCTATTAAATTATAAAGTTAGAGGCCGGGCACAGTGGTTCACACCTGTAATCCCAGCACTTTGGGAGGCCAAGGCAGGCAGATCACAAGGTCAGGAGATCAAGACCATCTTGGCCAACATGGTAAAACCCTGTCTCTACCAAAACTACAAAAATTAGCTGGGTGTGTGCCTGTAATCCCAGCTACTCGAGAGGCTGAGTAAGGCAGAAGAATCGCTTGAAGCAGGGAGTCGGAGGTTGCGGTGAGCTGAGATCGTGCCACTGCACTCCAGCCTGGCAACAGAACAAGACTCTGTCTCAAAAATAAATAAATAAATAATTTTTTAAAAATTATAAAGCTGGTCTTTTTGTATTGTTAATATAAATCTCCAAGGTCCATTTTCTCTTATAACTGTGGCCCAATTTTTTTTTCTTTTTAAAAAAATTTTCCTTATTTTTTATAATATGGAATGCTTCACCAATTTGCATGTCATCCTTACACAGTGGCAATGCTAATCTTTTCTGCATTGGTCCACTTTTAGAATATATGCTGCTGAATGAAGCAAGCACTCTATCCCAATTTTTAAAATACATTATCACTATATTTCTTTAATTTTCAAATAAACTCATATTATGTACACATTTCTATAGCCTGCTACATGCAGTTAACAGTAGTATAAAGCACATTCTCACATTTGAATTCTACAACCTAATATCACTTTTCAGATGGTAGATTGATGACTCAAATCCAGATTTCCTGATGCTAGATCTTGAGCTTTTTTTCTTTTTTTGAGACAGGGTCTCATTCTGTTGCCCAGGCTGAAGCGCAGTGGCACGATCTTGGCTCATTGCAACCTCTGCCTCCTGGGTTCAAGCGATTCTCCCACCTCAACCTCCCAAGTAGCTGGGAGTACAGGCACATGCCACCAGGCCCAGCTAATTTTTTGTATTTTTAGTAGAGACAGGGTTTCATCATGTTGACCACGTTGGTCTCAAATTCCTGGCCTCAAGTATCCACCCACCTCGGCCTCCCAAAGTGCTGGGATTACAGGTATGAGCCACTGCGCCCCACCTTGAGCTCTTTCTATTATGCTGACTCTCAATGTCCAATCTGACTCAGGTTTTAAGAAAGTATTTAAAAATTATCTCCAAGATGCATCTGTTTTAGATGAGTTCACCTTTATGTATACTTTTATGTATCAGTGAATACAATGTATAAAATTTTTAATTATCTTACAAAACTATATATTCAAAATTTCAATTTATTTGTTCCAAGTTATATTTAGCTTTTAAACTTTTATCTTAAGGAAACAAATTTTGTTGTAAGCATTTATTTATTTATTATTTACTTATTTATTTATTTTGAGACAGAGTGTCACTCTGTAGCCCAGGCTGGAGTGCAGTGGCGCGATCTCAGCTCACTGCAAGCTCCACCTCCCAGGTTCATGCCATTCTCCTGCCTCAGCCTCCCGAAGCTGGGACTACAGGTGCCCGCCACGATGCCTGGCAAATTTTTGGTATTTTTAGTAGAGACGGGGTTTCACCGTGTTAGCCAGGATGGTCTCAATCTCCTGACCTCGTGATCTGACCGCCTTGGCCTCCTAAAATGCTGGGATTACAGGCGTGAGCCACCATGCCCGGCCTATTTATTTTTAATTTATTGTTGTTTTGAGACGGAGTCTCATTCTGTTGCCCAGGCTGGAGTACAATGGCACGATCTCGGCTCACTGCAACCTCCACATCCCAGGTTCAAACGATTCTCCTGCTTCAGCCACCTGAGTAGCTGGGACTACAGGTGCACACCACCACGCCTGGATAATTTTTGTATTTTTAGTAGAGACAGGCTTTCACCATATTGGCCAGGTTGGTCTCAAACTCCTGACCTCAACTGATCCGCCCGCCTTGGCCTCACAAAGTGCTGGGATTATAGGCATGAGCTACCATACCTGGCCTGTTGTTGTAAGCATTTAAAGTTTACATTTTATAGCTATAGAATTTTCTTTTCCACAATTGTTGTTACTTAAGTTTTCAATGTAGCATCTATTTGAGTGTTTTCTACCTATGGGCTTATTCAAGTACTTAAAAGAAGCTCATCTAGAATCTCACATATAAAATGATGAAATTATGCTAAATGAATAGTTCCCAAGCTAGGGTCCCTACACATCTCAGTTTTCATGAAGGTAATAAAAACAATCTGAAAGCAGACTGTGGGCCACCATGTCCGGCCAAAAGTATAAGTTTGTAAATGAAAACCAAGGGCAGTGCAAGGGCTAGATAGAAACCAATAAATCTACAAGTGCTGAGGGTTTCTCAGGAGCTCTCCCAGAGCACCACCTGGTGGACGTCTGGCAACTTTTACCAGTATCAATAAGGAGATGGACACAAGGTTACTCAAAAATCCCGTGGAAACTCTCTAAAGTTGCTGCCATCATTAGCTGACTACACATACCTGGATGAGGTCCAAGATTCCAAGTTCACTCTCTGAGGAATCCACACAAAATACAAAGTAGAGGGTAGCATAGTGTCGGTAGATCAGTTTGTAGTCAGAGCCACCAATCAAACTGCAGAAGATGGGAAACATTTAAATGCCCACAGCTTAATTAAACACATCAAAAAGGAGCCTTGTGCCAAAGAATGAGAAAGGGCCCACTGGAAAGGAGAAGGCCAGATGCTAGAAGCAGGCCATTCTTACTAGGTGAATGGCAACCAAGTTTGGCAGAGGTACCTAAAGCCACCTTACCTTACCTTTTCTCCTGCCTATCCTCCCAGGGACCGATCATCCAAATGAGCGATATCAGAAGCACAGTAATTGAACTGCGCCCCCAGAGAGAATTGTGTCTCTCCCTGAGCAGATCATGGTGAGACCAGTTACAGTTGCATCAAGTATCCACCTGACACTTGAGTACTGCCAGAAGATGCAATAATGAAGGGCACTCACAAGTGGATATATGGGGAGAAAAATGAAGCTGACAGTTTACCTTCCACCCTCCAAGAAGTTACAGATGTTGTCATCCCGCTTGAGGACTAAATGGAAAGTCTCTCGAACAATCTGCTGTTGAATTTCTTCTGGCTATGGAACAAAAAGATAAGTGAATCAGTGGGCAGGCCTGAAAAACTACATCCCATCCATGGGGATGGACAGGGAAGAAGTATTTCTAAGCTGGGAACATCTAAACATTTAGTACTTGTTTCTAGAAATGATAAAAATGATGAGGAAAAAATAAGAGTGAATCTATGAAAAATGGATGACAAGGCTCTGATACAGGAATTAAGATAGGGTATATTTACCTAAATATCTAAGTCACTAACCATTACTGTCCTATAGGTAAGCTGATATTTAAACAAGAAAAGGAACATTGATAAACTCTCATACAAAGTCAGAGAATAACTAGAAGGCCTGATCCTGAAATATTTTGTCTTCCCCTGGAAAACATCTGTGACAAGTATATAATAAATCTCAACAGGTCTAACATTTTAAGAAAGTCAAGATGTGGGCCAGGTACGGTGGCTCACGCCTGAAATCCCAGCACTTTGGGAGGCCGAGGGGAGTGGATTACAAGGTCAGGAGTTCGAGACCAGCCTGACCAACATGGAGAAACCCCATCTCTACTAAAAATACAAAATTAGCCGGGCGTGGTGGCACATGCCTGTAATCCCAGCTACTTGGGAGGCTGAGGCAGGAGAATTGCTTGAACCCAGGAAACAGAGGTTACAGTGAGCTGAGATCACGCCACTGCACTCCAGCCTGAGCGAAAGAGTGAGACTCTATCTCAAAAAAAAAAGAAGGTCAAGAAGTAATCATGTAAATGTTTTAAAAAGTTGTATTGGCAAATACAGCTGCCATCTTTTGTACTGGTAATATAGATACTACATATAAGATGCTGTGTTACTCATCAACAAAGTATTATTGAGAAAAATAGATCACAGATTAAAATTCTGAACAATCAGAGAGCTACAAATAAAATGTTTTATTATTATTTTTTTAGACTGAGTCTTGTTCTGTTGCCCAGGCAGTGGTGCGATTACAGCTCATTGCAACCTCCAACCCCGGGTTTAAGCGATTCTCCTGCCTCAGCCTCCCCAGTGGCTGAGATTACAGGCATGCGCCACCATGCCCCACTAATTTTTGTATTTATAGTAGAGATGGGGTTTCACCATGTTGGTCAGGCTGATCTTGAACTCCTAACCTCATGGTGATCCACATGCCTTGGCCTCCCAAAGTGCTGGGATTACAGGCGTGAGCCACCATGTCTGGCCTTATTTTTTCACTTACTATGTGCATAACAAAGCTCAACTCTGATGAAATCACTTTGATAACTCACCTTTGATTTCTAATTATACATATGAGTTTCAGAAGAAGTATGGTTAAAAAGGGTAACGAGAGGGAGAAACCAGCAATTAAGACAGAAAATAATTTAAAGCTCTAGACCATTGCTTCTCAAATCTTAATTTGCAATGAATCAGCTGTGAATGTTGTTAAAATACAGATTCGGATTTAGCAGGTATAGGTTAAATCCTGAGATGCAAGTCTAGTAAGCACCCAGACAATACCATTTCTGTTGGTCTGGGGACCACACTTTGAGTAACAAAGCATAAGAAAACCTTAAATTGGACTTGCCCCAAGAGTTAGAAAATAGGTTCAAGTAATTTTAATCCCTTTTTTTCTACAGCCCTGAATTTAGCTTTGAAAGGGTTAGTTATTTAAAAGAAACAGAGAGGGGAAAAAACAGGGAAAACGTAATTGTGGGGAAATTACTTTGACTCACATGGGTATGGAATGGCTCACAGTATTTACTGAATGAATGAAAACTTGCTAATCATTGGTCACTACAAATTTGAGTAAATCAATCACTATTTTCCTCATTTCCATTTAAAGAACAAAGCTCACAGATGACAGGATGCTGTAAGGAACTAAGTCTATATACTGCAAAATACGAAACATGCTAAACATCAGCACTTTTTAAAACTGAAAACACATCTTTTGAACTAAAGCCTTTTATCTGACTCTGGGGGAAGTGGCAGCAGTGGGAAATGGTATGAAATGATGAGGCTACCTAATTTCTAGTTCAGTAAAAAGGTAAACTACCAATTGCTTACATGCCTCAGTGATTTTAATAACCCCTCATATCATTTTAGTACTCTGTAGTTTTCAAGGTACTTTCATCTATGAGCTCATGAGGTCTTATAAAAATCCTATGATCTCCAAAGATACATGAATGGTCAATAAGCACATGAAAAGATGCTCAACATCATTAGTCATTTTGGAAATTAAAATCAAAACCACAATAAGCCAGGTGCAGTGGCTCACACCTGTAATCCCAGCACTTTGGGAGGCCAAGACGGGCAGATTACTTGAGGTCAGCAGTTCAAGACCAGCCTGGCCAATATAGCAAAACCCCATCTCTACTAAAAATACAAAAATTAGCCAGGCATGGTGGCGGGCACCTGTAATCCCAGCTACTTAGGAGGCTGAGGCAGGAGAATCACTTGAACCCGGGAGGCAGAGGTTGCAGTGAGCCGAGATCACGCCACTGCAGCCTGGGAGACAGAGCAAGACTCAGTCTCGGGGGGAAAAAAAAGCCACAATGAGATACCACTTTATACCCACTAAAATGTCTTTAATCAAAAAATAAATAAATAAATAAATAACGAATGGCAGGGATGTGAAGAAAATGGAATCCTTATACATTGCTGATGGAAATGTAAAATGGTGCAGCCACTTGGAAAGTTTGTCAAATAGTTTGCAGTTTCTCACAGTGTTCACCATAGTTACCATATGATCCAGCAATTCTACTCCTGGGTATATAACCAAGAGAAATGAAGTCATAAGTCCACATAAAAACTTGCACAAGAATGTTCATAGCAGCATTAGTTAGAAGAGCCAAAAACTAGAAACATCAGCTTATAAACAGACAATCAAAATATGGCATACCCATATAATGCAATATTATTAAGCAATAAAAGAAATGAAGATCAGATACATGCTACAACATGGATGAATCTTGAAAACATTATACTACATGAAACATGGCAGACACAAAAAAACCCACTTATTTATGATTTCATTTATATGCAACGGAATAGGCAAATTCCATCTGCCACTCTGGAGTAGGCAAATTCCATCTGCCACTCTGGAATAGTCAAATTCCATTTGCCATTCTAGAACAGGCGAATTTAGAGGGAAAGAGACTCTCTAGGGCTGGGACAGTCATGGAGAAATAGGCAATGAGTGCTAATGGGCAGAGGTTTCTTTTCGGGGTGATGAAAATGATCTAAAATTGATTGTGGTGATGGTTGTGCAGCTTCTGTGAACGTGCTAAAAAACACTGAACTGTCCCCTTTAAATAGGTAAACTGGGGCCGGACACAGTGGCTCATGCCTGTAATCCCAGCACTTTGGGAGGCTGAGTCCGGTGGATTGCTTGAGCCCAGGAGTTCAAGACTAGCCTGGGCAACATAGAAAGACTCCATCTCTATAAGTAAATAACGTAAAATAAATAAGTAAATAGTATGGCATGTTAGTTTTATCTCAATAACCCTGTTAGAAAAAAACTAGGGGGGAATCTGTATACACACACATGCAAATACAAATAGTTATGTTGAATACTCATATTTTTACCTCGACGTAATCTACTTAATTAAATGTAATCTAGCTTTAAAAATCTTATGAAGGAGTAAAATTAGTTTTTCATTTCTGATTGACAAAAGACAGAATAAAAGTCTGAAAAGGGTTTATTAACTTGTCAATAGACGCAAGAGTAGAAAAGGTGGAGCTGAAGCCGGAATACGTTTTCTGACTCTTTCCCCTCTTCAGTTTCGCCAGTACCCCAATTATATAACATTTTGAAACCCCGCCATGAAGAAATAAAATACTGGAAGACAGGAAGCAAATACTGATGTTTATGTGTTTGCAAAGGAACGTGTTGGGAAAATTCAAATTTACATAATCACTTATTGAGCCCTTATGCAGCAGCATTTATAATTTCTCATCATGTTTCCACTTTTAAACTAAAATTTTCTTCAACCCTACAGAGTGAAGGGTATCTAGTCTCTGGAAAGTCCCAGCCACACTGAAGCAAAATAATTCCAAATAAAGAACTTTTCCAGACCCTTTGGCTATAACAAAAACTTTCAGAAACTTAATATTTCTTCCTCATGAAACTGTGGTCAACAACCAAAAAGATGACAGAACGTGACTTCAATCATTCAAGTTCTCAACGAGGCACACTCCCCACTGTCGCTTCTATCTCGTTCCCAGAGACCCAAGGGAAAATGTCACAAAATGGCACAGAAATGCCAGGATCCAGAAAAGGGTCAGAAAGAGCGGGGGCAGTAGGGCGGGAGACAGAATGCCTGGCACCGGCCTGCGCCCAGGTTAAGTGCTTAAGAAGGGTGAGGGTCATGCACGGTGCAGGAGCCCCAGGTGACCAAGGAGCGGTGCCCCCGGGCGCCCAGAGGCCAAAGAGGAGGGAAGAGATAGTGGGCACCCTCAACGGGCGTGGTGAAGCCGGGCCGCACTCACGAAACGCTGGTAGAAGCGGACTAGCCGCGGCTTTCCATGGTTGTTGAAAACCAGAATCGCCTGAATCATCTTTGCCGGCCACGGTTCTCTCAGCACCGGCTACTCCCAGAAATCGCCTCCTTCCGCCACAACACGGCCACTTCCGGTTGGTGCGCTGCTGAGAGCGGCACTCGGAAACTTGGCCCCGGCACCCAGGAGCCCTAGCACCCAAGGGTCCGGCCTCTTTGACGCCCTGGAGAAGGCGGCGGGGTCCCCTGCGGACTGCAGGTGCGGGTGCCCAGGAGCGTGGTCACCTCAACCAGCGTCAGTTGGCCGGTCAGGATGCGAATCCGGATCTATGTCCCTCGCCAAGACCGACAGCTGGCCCCAGAAGCCGAAACTTGACCACCAGCCGGGTTGCCAACACAGAGAGGCGGCGCGAGCGTGCCTTTCTCGCCGTCCGCTCCAAAACCTGTACCCCCGCCTTCCCCTTAGCGCTCGCAGAACGTTCCGCGGAGTGGAGACGCCGGTCACTCGGCCGTTCCTCGGTTAAGGAACGTTTCGTTCATTTTTATTTTTCAGTATTACAATGCTGCAGTGAATTACGTAGCTGTCTCTCCGTGCATATGGGCTGTTCCTCCATGGTAGACGGTGAATGGTGGAATTAAAGAATTTTTAGTCCTTTTCCTTTAAAATCCCAAATCAATCAAGTTCTTATTTTTGTTTGTTCTTTTAATGACCCAGTGTGGGTAAGGTGGAGCACGTTCGTATACTGCAGATGGAGCAGCGGATACAGCTGCAAATCGATCCAGGGGACTGTTTGGCAATATGGATCAGAAGCCTTTAAAATATGTAACAGTCCAGGCCCGGGGGCTCACGCCTGTAATCCCAGCACTTTGGGAGGCTGAGGCGGGTGGCTCACTTGAGGTCAGCAGTTCGAGACCAGCCTGGCCAACATGGTGAAACCCCGCCTCTACTAAATTACAAAAATTAGCCGGGTGTGGTGGTGCGCGCCTGTAGTCCCAGATATTTGGGACTCAGATACCCAGATACTTAGTCCCGGGACTGAGGCAGGAGAATGGCTTGAACCCGGAAGGCGGAGGTTGCAGTGAACCGAGATTGCGCCACTGCACTCCAGCCTGGGCGACAGAGGGAGACTCTGTCTCCAAAAAAAAAAACTCTCTCTCTCTCTCTCTCTATATATATATGTGTGTGTATATATATATTTATTTATTTATTTAACATTAGACTCAGCGTTTCCAGCTCTGGAATTTATAATAAAATGATTGTGGATGTGTGAGAAGATTTAGCCTCAGGAACATACATTTCTGCCAGAGTATCTTTAGAACAGTAAAATAAAAAAGAAGAAAAAAATATATATCTCAGCAGTGTTATTACAGGGGAAAATGGGAAAAAAATTATTACAAAAATGAGAAATTGGTTAAGTGCATTGTTCTACATGAATATGAGAAATATTAAATAGCTAATAAAAATCATGCTGGGAAAGATTTATGATACAGAAGTGTTCATGACATCTGTTAAGCCAAAAGATTACACGAAGTCTGCACAGGGACAACCCACTTTGCACAAGATTGGCGGCAAATACACCAAAATATGAATAATGTATCTGATGGAATGGCAGAGTCAGGGTGGTTTGATTTGTACAGGCCCCTGGAACCACGCTGCCCTGATTCAAAGCATGGTTCTGCGGACTGCCTGGGCACCCTGGGCAAGTTTCTTCATCTGTAGAAAAGGTGTAATATCAGTTTCCTAAACTGGAAAGTGAGTCTACTGACTGCAGACAGTTGTTATAAACACAAAAGGAGTTATTATAATATTTGTAAGCACTTGGAACAGTGCATGGCACATAACTGAGTACCACATAAGTGATTTTAAAACATCTTTGGGTGGTAGGATTATCAAGTTTTCCTTTTATTCCTTCAAAGAAATATGTGCTACTTTTGCAGCTAGAGTTTTGGGGTTTGCTTGTTTGTTTTTTCAGAGACAGGGTCTTACCCAGATTGGAGTGCAGTGGCACAGTCATACCTCACTGTAACCTCAAACTGCTGGCCTCAGGCGATCCTCCAGCCTCAGCCTCCCAAACCCCCACAATGCCTGGTCCAGCGTTTTTTTGTTTTTGTTTGTTTGTTTGTTTGTTTGAGATGGAGTCTCTGTTGCCCAGGCTGGAGTGCAGTGGCATGATCTTGGCTCACTGCAACCTCCGTCTCCCGGGTTCAAACAATTCTCCTGCTTCAGCCTCCCCAGTAGCTGAGATTACAGGCGCATGCCACCATGCCCAGCAAATTTTTGTATTTTTAGTAGAGATGGGGTTTCACCACACTGGCCAGGCTGGTCTCAAACTCCTGACCTCAAGTGATTCACCCATCTCCGTGTCCCGAAGTGCTGGGATTACAGGCGTGAGCCACTGCACTTGGCATGGCCCAGTTTTTAAATAAATAAAAACCCAAAGTCAGTTGCACTGAAACTTGACAAAAATGTTTAAAATGTTGAGGAAAAATATCAAAGAAAATTCTGAAACAGAATTATGAAGAACTAGCTCTGCCAACTATTAAAACCTACTTTGATGGTTCAAATTGTAATTATAGGAAGACTAACTGAAATACTATAAATAATTTAGGCACAAAATAATTTTAATATGTGATGTAGGAGTGGGAAGGAATTCAGTAAATACTATTAGGATAAACTGGTTAGCAATTTGAAAATAAGTAGTTAAGTATAAAACCAGATAATAACCTAAATAGAAGAAAACGAAATTGAATAATATCCAAAAATCTGCATTAGCTTAGAAGCAATAAAAATCACAAAACATCAATAGATATATAAAGATTTTTTATGAAAAGAATTATTTAATGGAAAAATCATTAAAATATGGCAAATGGTTACATTTAAAATACAAATAACTCTGATAAACAGGTATCACTCCCCATCTCCCCAGTAGATAAATGGACAAAAAAACTGAATAACAAAGGGAGAAATACAGCTAGGAAAAGGAAAAAATGTTTAAGCTCACTATAAGTGGGGGGAAAGGCAAATTAAAATATATTAAAATAGGCCGGGTGCGGTGGCTCACGCCTGTAATCCCAGCACATTGGGAGGCTGAGGCGGGTGGGTCACGAGGTCAGGAGATTGAGACCATCCTATCTAACATGGTGAAAACCTGTCTTTACTAAAAACACAAAAAAATTAGCCAGGCGTGGTGGTGGGTGCCTGTAGTCCCAGCTAATCAGGAGGCTGAGGCAGGAGAAAGGCGTGAACCTGGGAGACGGAGGTTGCAGTGAGCCGAGATCGCACCACTGCACTCCAGCCTGGGCGACAGAGTGAGACTCCGGCTCAAAAAAAAAAAACTGTGTGTGTGTGTGTGTGTGTGTGTGTGTGTGTGTGTGTATAATTTTCACCTTATCCAAAGTCATTTTTAAAATGTTTTCATACCCAATTCTGACAAGGGCAGCATAAAAATGGTTCTCCCCTACATTGCTGGTGAAATTATGGTTTAGAACAACTCTTTTGGGAAGCAATTTGGCAATATAACAAGAACTTTACAAAAGATTTCTAGATTCTCAGTAATATGACTCCTGGGAATCTGCTCCTAAAGAAATAACCCAAAAATATAGTTAGAGGTGGGGAATTAAGGGAACTATATAATTTTCAACATTTTTGGAAACAATCCTGTTAGCCACACAGGGATCAATTTAAATATCCAAAAGTTGGACCATGACGGAACTATCCAGTGGTAGCAATCTTAAAAATAATGGTTGCAGGTGGGCATGGTGGCTCATGCCTGTAATCCCGGCACTTTGGGAGGCTGAGGTGGGAGGATCGCTTGAAGTCAGGAGTTCAAGAAAAGCCTGGCTAACATGGTGAAACCCCGTCTCTACTAAAAACACAAAAAACTAGCCGGGCGTGGTGGCGTGTGCCTGTAATCCCAGCTACTAGGGAGGCTGAGGCAGCAGAATAGCTTGAACCTGGGAGGCAGAGGTTGCAGTGAGCCAAGATCGCGCCATTGCACTCCAGCTTGGGCAAAAAGAGTGAAACTCCATCTCAAAAAAAAGAAGAAAGAAAAATGGTTACAAAGACTATGTAGCAATATGGAAAGTGATTATGTAACATTAATCGAAAAAGTAATATCAAATTTTATGTGTGGGCATAGTGTTACAACAACTACGTACAAGTATTACAGATGTTTTAGAATTTGTCTAGCAGGTTTTCCAGTTTGTACCAGAAAACCCCTATGCAAGTTTACAGAAACCAAAACTATGTACACAAATTACATGCTAAAAAACCCAAACACTAAAAATTATGAACATGACTGAGTGAAACTATGAGTTTTTTTTCCCCTTTAAATATATTTCCTAAGTGCATTGCTATTTATGGAGATTAGTTTAGTCCCTCAAAAATTCTTCCTATATCGTTCGGGCACAGTGGCTCATGCCTGTAATCCCAGCACTTTGGGAGGCCGAGGAGCATGGATCACCTGAGGTCAGGAGTTCAAGACCAGCCTACCCAACATGGTAAAATCCCATCTCCACTAAAAATACAAAATTAGCTGGGTGTGGTGGCACATGCCTATAATCCCAGCTACTTGGGATTATGGTAATACTCCTGCTGAGGCAAGAGAATCTCTTGAACCCGGGAGGTAGAGGTTGCAGTGAGCCAAGATTGAGTCATTGCACTCCAGCCTGGGCAACAAGAAAAAAAAAAAAAAAAAAAAAAAAAAAAAAAAAATTCCCATATGAATGAAGCTCAGAGGATTTTCTTGGTTCTGTTTGAAGATACAAAATAACTGTCAATTTCCATCATTAGGCCCATGGTGAAAGGCAAGCTGGACACTGGTGGAAGAAAAGAAATTCAGATGGATAGAGGAAAGGGACCTCCCAATAAGAAAAGAGTCCAGGCAAGGCGATGGAAGTGGGAGAGTGGCCTGCTCCGGAAACAGCCAGCCCCTCCATGGGACCAACACAGCCCTTCCCAAACTGTTTCTCAGAGCAGCTGTCCCATGAAATGCTCCTCACAAAAACGGGTTCTATGACCAAAGAAATGTGGGAAATACTTAATCATACCCTGTCCTGAAGAGTTACAGTAAATGTTAGTATAGTAAAAGCTCTGGGAAATCCTACAGAAATGTTTGAGTTTAACATTACGTTTGTCCCAACAAATTAGAT